CGGGATCGTATGCGCCGGACGAAATTAGCAATTACGTAAATCCTGAAATTTATTCCCTTTTCATTTTCGAACAGCGGAAAACGAGGAAGGATTCGAAAGAAAGGAAACCGTCGGCCCACCGACCCATTCAATTCACGAGCGCGCACACGCTGGCACACGCTCGTTTCGTACGAATGCGTAAACTTGAGCGTAAATTCACGATCATGCGCTCGCGTGCGCGTGCTTGATCGTTTCGCTCGGACTATTCGGAAAAAGAAGAAAGGACCGGAGCGGCGAAGGAACGGGAGGCGGGGAACGGAATCGTACATGAAAATTACATACTGCCTGGGACCTGCACTTAAAAGGCCTCGAACGTATAACCGTAGCCAGCTAAAAGCCTCGCATACGTCAATGCCAGGTCTTCGTGATATTTCGTAACACGGTTTCGGTTAAGTAGAAAATTGTTACACGATGCTACCGCTGCCGAAAGATCGGACGGTTTTGGGCTGATCCTCGGCATTTACATTACCAGATGCTAATTGAAGCAATGGACTCCAAATTGTTACAATTTCGCCGCAATCGACGTTTCAAGGAGATCGTTTCCTTTTTCTTGGTTATCTTGAAATTACAGAGAGTGGCGACGATTTGATGATTTTTTTTTTTATTTGACCTAGGAACCCTTTACAAGATTATCAGCTTTGTACACATTGTTGTGCATGAAAATAATATATAAATACAGTTAGAGAAAAGAAAAAATGATATGAAATCGCATAATGCATAAGTAAGAATATTATAATAATTAAAATTACGAAAATAAATAAATGAATATAATTGTAGAAACAAATTACGCATTTTAAGATATCTGTGAATGTAATCTAAAGATGTATCTGACACGAATTATTTCTTTATGTAAAAATTGCATTGATACATTTATTTCATTATTCCTCTTTTTAGTGACGAATTTATTTAAATATACGTAATAATTAATATAATATATAATAATATATAATATAATATAAATATAATATATTAACATAATATATAATAATTAATATACGTGTAATATAATACATTTATATATACGTAAATATTATGAAAATT